TCTGGACAAAAAGTTTCAATAACACCGTTATTCGAAGCAGTTATGAAGATCAGTCAAGTGGTGTGAACAAATGCTAATCTAAATAGTAATACAGGTTGAGATTTGAATTCATGGAAATATAGGAAATTTTATAAAGAAAACTCTTTCAGTGGTCTCTAAATCTGTGATACTAAATCATATGAAGAGCAGTAGAAAGTTCCTTCTGTTTGGTTGTCTGTCTTTCAAAGTCAACTCCTCTCTCCACCCACACTGACACATACATACCTGGATCAGTGATGGAAGAGGCTTCCTTCTTTCCTCACCACCCCCTTTCAGAGACTAGATCAGGTAGACATTATTTCTTTTATTAATTTTTAATTGACACATAATAATTGTAGTATGGGGTACTGTGTGATTTTTCAGTACATGAATACACGAAGGGTAATGATTAAATCAGGGTAATCAGCATATCAATCATCTGAGACATTTATCATTACTTTGTGTTGAGAACAGTCAAAGTCCTCTCTATTAGTTATTCTGAAGTACACGATAAGTTATTGTTAAATATAGTTACTCTACTGTGCTACAGAACACTAGAGCATATTCCTCTTGTATAACTGTAATTTTATATCTGTTAACCAACATTTTCTAAAATATATTAAAAGGAGTAGCAGCTCTCTTACAATTGCTTTTCTCTTCTAACATTTCACTTTTATTTCCATCTTTCTGTTCTTTCTCACTTCCCATCTCCCACTCTATTCTCTTCTCACTAGTTAGCCATCTTCATGCTTGTATATCTGCTGATAGTGCAATCTTGGTTTTGACTTTGTAGATAGGAAGATGTGGACACATTTAAAATTTACTTAGCAGGTAAAATTATTGAGAAGCAAGAGAGAGGTGGGAAAGAAATAATTGCAAAGTTTCAGGCTTATATAACTGGTTATATGATGGTGTTTCTTTATTGAGACAGAGAATACAACAGAACAAAGTTTTGGGAAAGACCATGGGTTTGTCTTGTAGGTGTATCGAGGTGGGTTTGACACATCAAAGAGGAGTATATTAAAAGGCAACATAATATAAGGGCCTGGAAATCAGAAAAGGGATCTAGAGGTATAAACATATGAGTAATTTACTGATCATCTGATCATTTAAGTTGTGGGTCTAGGTGAGATATCTTAGGACTATAGAAAATCCCTTGGACATAGGGAGATAGAAGTTATTAAAACTCTTTATTCTATTTAAATATTTATTGTAATTTATGATTTACATATAACCATCACACATCTTCATAGGTTACAGAATGGTCTTTAAAAGCATGCATGCAGTGTACAATAAACAAATTGAGGATATAAACACATTCACCACATTCAACATTTAACATTATGTTGTGAACATTGGAAACAGGCCCCAGTGGTTACTCTGCAAGTATGGACTGAATTGTCTGTAACATTTTTCACTGTGATGTATACAATTCTAAAAATAAATGTTGATTAAAAATCAGGCAACAAACAAAAGCATGAATTGACAAGGATAGTCTTAACATAGCCAGTGAAAGAAGAATTTGTAATTTCCATGTAGAAAACTGTGGGAGATGAATTTATAATCTGAAAAAAATCTGTGGGTAGCAGACATTGGTCCAGTTAGAGATAGATAGAATTGTACATAATAATAGTTCATGAGGAAGACATAGAAGAAGAATGATGTTACTCACACATTGTGCATCCTTGTAAGACCATAGTACTGTATTGTGCATAAAGAAGACCTTGAAAAAACAAGGATAAAACAAAATTGGAAAGAGATGTTTAAAAGTGAAGACATAGTAAAGCCAGTGATTTGGTGATTTATAGGCTTTACGAAGTTCTTTATTTTAGCCTTTTAAAAAATTAATTCCGAAGAAAGACTCAGCTGTAACATTTTGGACTTTTGCTCTATTTTCTAGTTTTATACAATGAATAATGGTTATAATAAATAAATATATATATATGTATTGAAACCTGCTTGTGTGTACATTTGTTGAATCTACATTTATTCCCAACATTTAATGTTTTTATAAATATGTGGAGACTTACCTTTTTTCTACTTGTTTTTGCATTTGCTTCTGTTTGTCTCTCTCTAGCTTTCTTGATATAGTAGTCCCTTAAGCATTTCCTGAAGAGCTAGTTTTGTTTTGGAGAATTCTTTCAGCATTTGTTTATCTGAGAATAATTTTATTTCTCTTTCCCATTTGAAGGATAACCTTGTTGGGTATAGTACTTTTGGCTGAAATTGCTTTTCTTTCAGAGTTTTAAATATGTCTTTCCATTCTTTCTTTGACTGCATGGTTTCAACTGAGAGATCCAGTGTTAGTCTAATGGAGTAAACTTTGTAAGTAACTTGGTGTTTCTCTCTTGCCTTTTTTTAGAATTTTGTCTTTGTCCTTGATTTTTACCAATTTGGCTATAATATGCCTTGGAAAGGATATTCTTTTGTTATATCTACTTGGTGTCCTTCATATCTCCTGAATTTTGATGTCCCATGCCTCTCTAAATTTGGAAAGTTTTCAGCTAATATATAATATAATATCATAAAAAATGTTTTCTATGCCTTTATCTATATCTCCACCTTCTGGAATACCTATTATATAGCTATTTGGCCATTTAATGGTGTCTAGGATTTGCCACATATTGTTCTCATTTTAACGGTTATTCTTCTATTCTTTTTAATTTCTTGGACTAAGTTGGAGGTTTTGTCTTTAAGGTCAGAGATTCTTCCTTCCATGTGGTCTAATCTGTTGTTGATAATTTCAAGGGAGGTTTTGATTTCCTGCAATATATTCTTTAACTCTAGAGTTCTGTTTGGTTCTTTTTCAGTATGTCTATATCCTTATGAAGTTCTCCCTTTACTGTCATGGAAGGATTTTCTCACCTTTTGGAATTGGTTCACTGCTTTCTCTTGCATGTTGTTGAGTAGTGTTACAATGAATATTATGATTTTTTTTTCTGAAATGTCTGTGATCTCTTGTATTTTACTTATTGTTGGTGAGAAGTTAAGATTCTTTGAGAGGAACATGTTTCCTGGTTTTCTCCTGTTACCTTGGTCTCTGCTTTGATTAGTCATCTGGTGATATACTGCCTTCTTCCTACTCTGGAGTATGTTTCTGTAGCTGTGTGCTCCTGCACTTCTTATTATATGTGTAAGCTCTGTGTCAGTTTCCCTTTTCTACTGTGGATGGGAATGTAGAATCCATGGTAGCAGTTTAAGGTTTAGGCATTCAGAGGGGAGTTTCTCTCCCTTCCTCCAGTCTCCTATTTTCAGGTGTTTGGCTCTTGAATACCCAGTACCCAAACCTGACTGTTCCCAATGATGGAGGTTGCACTGACAGGTAGAATGTAAGGTGGTGGACTACTTCACTTGGTTCATGAGCGTACCATATGAACTGGAGAGCCCCACCTCCCCCATAGCAGGCCAGGCAGGGGTCCCTGCTGATGAACCAAGGCTGAGGAGCTTGGCTTGGGCCTGTGTTGGTCCTAGATAGGTGAGGGGCAGAATGGCATCAGCACATGTGGGGTGGTAGCTCCTACCTTCTATCTCTGGGATTGCAGGATCTCCCTGTTGCCCTTTCTTTCTCTGGGATTGCAGGAACCAGGTATTGGTTCTTTAGGCTGGAGAGCCCTACCTTCACCCACTGCAGGCTTGGCAGAGTTCCCTGCTGATGAGCTAAAGCTGAATGGCTTGGCTTGGGCCTGCTCATTGGTCCTTCTATCTCTAGGATTGTAGAGTCTCCCTGTTGCTCCTTTTATCTCTTTGAAAATATTTATTTTTTTTGGAGGGGTTTTTGCTGTAGGATGCGTGCACTTGCCAGAAAGACAGAGAGAGAGACAGAAAGCAAGAAATCACTGCCCCCCCTCCCCCCAGAGGGGATGGCCATACTGCCAATCCCTTCTCCTCCATTCTCCTCTCAGGATCTTAGGCACGCATGCACACACACTCGGCGTGAGTTTAAGCCACTGGGTCCAGGACTTGAACTGTGGTTGACTACATGGATTCGAGTGATATAGCTATTACACCATCTGCTGGTCCCTCTCTGAAAATCTTAATAGAAGCTGTTTTGGCGTGGAGATGTGAGGAGGAGATGGAGTAGGATATAGAGCGATTAGAGGAAATGAAATTGGTGAGTACAGACAGCTCTTTCATGAAGTTTGCTGGTGAAGTTATGTACGGTTTTAATGAATTTTTAAAGGAAATGTGTCATTTAAATATGATTGGAAGGCAGAATCGTTTAAAATTGAAATAGTTTCTTAATAATGAAAGTTTGGCCAGAATAGAGACATAGCCTTGCACAGAGAAGACTAGAAGATATTGAAACGATATTGAATTGCCATGTGGCTAACATTTATTGAGCTCTCATCATTGTTCCAGGTGCCATTCTAAATGCTTCACATGTATTAACAAATTTAGTCCCAAAACAACTCTATGACATAGGCCTACTTATTAATTCTATAAAGTAGAGACTTGAGGAAATTGGTCACCAGAAAGGTGATGTAGCTGCCAGGAAACTCAGGAAGTCTAGTCATGGAATCCTTGTTCTTAACCATTATGCCATACTGCTCCTTAATAGGTAGATGCACAAAAACGTACCTGTGCTATCTATGGGCCAAGTGTGTACTTATCCATCTGAAATTATTGAAAATGTTATTGGTTATATAATCACTTTGGGACAAAGGTATTAATGCTGACTTTTACATTATAGAACAAGATGGGCATCAATGGAAGTGTCATTAGAACAGTCTTAGCTTTAACAGTGGCCTTTAATAATACATGCACATTATTCATTTAATCGTACCTGTAACTAGGCAGTGGCCTTGTTGCTGAGAGTATAATAGGTGAGCAGGATTCACGACCGTCTGAAGTCACTTGCAGCTTTCTGCCAAGATGTGTCATTTGTGTATTTCATTAATCAATATCTCCAAACAAATGACCTTTTCTAGGTTTCTGGGAATTGATTTTAACCATAATGTATGTGTGTTTCTTTTCCTTCTAAGGATTTAACAATACAGAGAGAACATGTGACAAAGAGTTTATTATACGGAGAACAGCCACCAACCGAGTGCTGAATGTCCTCCGTCACTGGGTCTCAAAGCACGCACAGGTAATTCAGTAGCCTTGTTAATTACTTTCGGGGATTTGTTTCTAATCAATTTTTCAAGTTCTTATGCATGTACAACATCTCTTCATTATTTGGAATTAAGCATCTGAAATCTTGAAATTGGAACCTAGAAAGGGCAGAGTAGATACAGGATCTAATCAAACGCACGATTGATTACCTGCATGCACTATATCAGATCTACAAATGACATGACATGGTGACACAGGGCTCCCCTCTCCCCTCACCTTCCCAGGCAGTAGTAGTCACCTGTGAGCCCTGGAACCATGGCAGGGCCAGTGCACTGTGCCACCCTGGGAGCCCTGTTCAAAGGGCCTTCTCTGTGAGTGGAGTTGTGCCAAGAGGCAGCTGGCAGCAGTGGCACCTCCACCCAATGACTGCATGGTCCTTGGTAATGACAGTCCATCTGATAGTTTCACTCCAAGAGCTTGGCTCCTAAAATCCCTGTGGTAAGAGAAATTACTCATTGGGAAAAGTGAGATTTGGGAATACTCATTACAATAGAAGCAACAAAGCTAGCACACTAAACAAAGATATAAAAATTCCATCTTACACCTCCTAAATAAATAAAACTAGACCCAATATGATTCAAATTTGGAGAACCATCCTTAGTTCACTGGAAATGTCTAGTCTCTCTTTTCCGCAATTTCAGTGAACTGATTATAAATACATTTTGCCTTCTTGCAGGTAAAACACAAAAATGAGATTTTTCAAGCCTGTCTAATCATCCGTCTCACTCCTCTCTCTTCTGCCACCACCCGCTATACCACAACATTTTATTTTGTGTCTTAACTACTGCATCACTACCATCTAAAAACAAGGGGAGTAAATAAAAGCGGACTTTGAATTTCATTCTTTTAAGGCCCAGTGAAGTGTGAATTATATTGCTATGAGATGAGATGGTAAAGCATTGGGTTTGTTGTTGTTTTAATTGTTTCTTGTAATTTCTAGTTTACATGGTGGGTTTTTTGTTATTATTATTTTTTTTTTTGAGAGCTTTTTGCTATAGGGTGCATGTGCTTGCCAGAAAGACAGAGAGAGACAGAGAAACAGAAAGTGAGAAATTACCCCCTTGGGGGGATGGCCACACCGCAATCCCTTCTCCTCCATTCTCCTCTTGGAATCTTGGGCATGCACATACAAGTGTCCAATATGAGTTTAAGCCACCAGGTCCGGGACTCAAACCACAGTCGACTACATGGGAGTCCAGCGACATAGCCATTATGCTGACCTATGCCAACTGCCGGTCCTGGTTTTCATTTTTTTTTTTTTTTTTTTTTTTCTTCAGAGTCTTGTCATGTAATTCCTGGGACCCCAGTGTATCTCAAGATGCAAAGTAGTTTCAATAGACGGGCTGACTGGGTTCTCTTCCCCAGCGTCAGCTTAGCCCAGGACAAGTTCACACCAAGACTCACATGGTCATCAGCATGAGGCTGGCCTAGGTTTATCAGCCTCAGCTCCTCTCTTCCAAAACTTTAAAAACACCTTTTAGCCGGGGTCGGCGGGTGGCATGGTAGTTGAGGGCACTGGCCAGCTGTGGTTTGAGTCCCAGACCTGGCGGCTTACTCTCTCTCTTTCTCACTCTGCCCTGCTCCAGTCAAATTAAAATAAGAAAGAAAGAAAGAAGTAAAGAAAAAAAGAAAGAAAGGAAGAAAGTTAAATAAAATAATTATTCAAAAACAAACAAACAAACAAAAAAAAACAACTCTTAGGCTTGCTTCCCTGTCAGCCTTCCTGTCCTTTTCTCAGTCCCCAATGCCCTCTTCTTCTAATGATCCCAAACAGGAATCCCTCGTTGTTCGCAACTCTGTAGTTGCTAGAAGAGTACCATAAAGTAAACGACAAGACACTGATTATTTTTCTTGTGGCGATGAGAATCCCTGGATGGCGAGCTTGGTGTACTGATCCCCTCGCTGAGACGGAGTTTCCCAGTAAGGTGGTGCTGTCAGATTTGGTGGCCGCGTTGCTCGGCCATTCAGACGCTCTGGAGTCAGAGTGTTCTCAGCGGTGCATGTGCCTGCGCGAGAATTTCCGTCTCCAGTTCCAGGTAGAAAAGCCACACCATGAGCCCAACTCCTCACTCTCCCCAGAGCATATGTGAACTGTGTGAACTGCTCGGGTAGTCCGTCTTTTCTTCTGACATGACCTGGCACTGTTTAGTTCACGGATGTGCCAGAGGAAGATCTCACATGCCCTCCGTGTCTTTTCCCACTTGCGCTGCGTGCATGAGTGGACACTAGGGCCGTATGGTTGGTTTCCTGTGCCTGGTGTAGCCCTCATCGTTTTTAGTTATTATATGCATGTCCTATAACCTTCACTTCTCACCGAGTTCCCTTCCTCCTCCCTGCGTAAGTACAGGACTGCGTGCGGGACATTTCGGTTCTATTTCTCTTTGCTGGCAATAGCCTTAGGGCCATTTTGCTGACTTGAGTGTCCAGATTCCCTTTCTTCCCTTTCTTCATTTGCTTCTGGCCTCGGAGAGTCATTCAGCCTCCATAGTGGGCAGCTTGAGCAAGCTGAGACAGGGGGTGGACTGGCAGACAGCTTGAATAGCCAGAGCTGGTCTCTGCTCTTGGTCCTGGAAGCCACTGTGTGCCTATCACCTCTCCTCACTGACCGTGGGCACAGCCGTAGCCATTACAGTTCAGGGGAGGTGTGAGTGTGGTGCCCAACTTCATGGGCCCTACACCCGTGACCATTGTACGTAAAGGAAGAGTAACCCATCCTGATACCTTTATCCAAGTGTCTCTAAAGACACTTACTCTCCTAAGGCAGTGTCCAGCTATGAAATGGGGCTGTTGGTTTGCAAATCTGAGCTTTAATCTGACTCTGCCAACCAGCCTCACCTTTTTAGTCTGGTCTTCACATCAAACAGTGAAGGGCTTGGACAAGATCAGTTTTAATGGTCTGATCACTCTGTGCCAGTTGAGTCCATTTAAGGAAAAATATAGCATTATTGTGGCAACCTGACTATTTTATCAGTAGCTTTATTTATTTATTTATTTATGGTCATTCACTGTACATCAATATACAGTATACAAAATGAGGTTTTCCATCCAGTATACATTGTATATTGGCTCAACCAAGGATATGACCAAACATGTTATCATCAATAAATGATTTTCTATTTCTTGTTTCTTATATATATTTTTTGAGAGTTTTTTTTTTTTCGCTATAGGGCGCGTGTGCTCACCAGACAGACAGAGAGAGACATAGAGACAGAAAGCGAGAAATCACCCCCCAGGGGGGATGGTCACGCCGCAATCCCTTCTCCTCCATTCTCCTCTCGGGATCTTGGGCATGCACACACATGCGCCCAGCATGAGTTTTAAG